CTGGAAGGGCCGGGAGAGCCCTCCTGAGCTCTGAACCAGGGCCACCACCGAGCCACCTCGCTGGCACTGCCGAGGCGGCAGCAGAAGACATGGTGACCGGCCTCATCCTCCCTTCCCCCACCTGCCGGTGCAGCATCCGTCAGTCCGCATGACCCTCCCCCTACCAAAACTGGCTGCTTTCTTCCTTCTTCTCCCCCCCCCTCCCTTTTTTTGGCTGAGTGATGAGCTGTATGCCAAATCCATCTGCTCCTGTCTCCCCTAGCTGCCTTCCATATCATTACAGGATCCCTGGCAGCGAGCCTAGACCTATCTCTCTCCCTGCACTCTTAGGAGCACATTCCTTTCTACACCTTTTGCCGAGCTGGGATAGAAATGAGTATCAACCCCAAACAAAAAGCATCTGCTTTCTGCCTGCTTCTGCTTCACCGGACGTGCATGTACGCTACACCCGTGTCAGCAGCGAATGCAAAACACACACAACCCCCCACCTCGCCGCCCCGCATCCAACATGGGCTGACGAAACTTTGGGCGCCGGGAGCCTGCCTCACACCCTCTCCCTCTCCGTCTCCGCAGCACCAGCTGTGACCACCGCACCATTTGTTCCTCCAGCCCACGCCAGCACTCGGAGCCAGTTCTTTATCACCCCAATTAGCCTTGTCTGTGCTGATGAGAGGAGAGAGGCTTCCACTGCAAGGCAGAGACGGGGGGAAGAGAGCTGGCGTGCGGTGGGCACCGCGAGAGGCGATTCCCTTTACGGCGGCTTTGTTCCCTGGGAGGGATAGATTTCACCGGGTCAGGAGCACCGCTAAAAAGCTGGCGCTGCCGTCCTGCCTCCATTACCTGGGTGATGCTGGTTTATAAACAGTTGCTTGAGTAAGGTCAGGGGACACTGTTTCTTGGGGTTTTCCCCTCTTTTCTTCATGCACTTTGCTATCTGGTAGAGGGAAGAGGAGCATCCTCGGGCTGCACCGTCTCCCAGGTGTTGCGATGGGCTCTGGCTAGTGCCAGCCACATTTCTGGATGAGTTTGGAGATGCACCTTGGTCATGTCCCCAGCGAGGATCTCCCTGCATCTACAGCAAATCTTCCAGTAGACTCACAGGGGGATGAAGTGATTCCCCCTTCTCCCACTGCCTCGTTATAATGTCCCCCCTGATGGTATGTCAGGATACCGAGGGGTCAATGCTGCATTGATGCTCGTGCAGCCGTCAGCCTGAAAGCCTGTTGGGTTTTTTTTCCAAACCAGCCCCTTGTAGCACTCTCTGGGAGTGGTGCTTTTACACCGCGGTTCCCTCAGTGCTGTTGTGAGCTTGCATCCCTCCTGGGCTTCTCCTGAATTCATTGTTGAAATCCCTTTTCTGGTAGGCACCTCAGTGCTATCATCCCAGAGCCAGGAAAGGGGATCGATCCTTTGCCCAAGCACAGGTAGATCTACCTCATCGGGAGGAAGAGGATGGACACAAATCAAACCCAGTCACATGGTGGACACTCAGTTTGAAAGGACAAAGTCACCTGTGTGGGGTGGGATAGGTCCCATCGTTGTTGTCCCAACAGGGTAGAACCTGTTCCTCAGAGCACGCTCCATGGCAGGCGTTCCCTGTTAGAGGGGTTCCCAGCATGGCCATGACCGAGAAGGATCCTGCTGGGGGGTCTTCTCTGAAGCTGAGACACAAGAAACTTGACAAGAAACTGTGGTCTCCAGATCCATTTCACAACACCATGTGCAGTGGAAGGCTGGCCAAACATGTCCAGGATGCTCTACAGCTGGACCAAAACAGAATCATAGAATCATAGAATGTTTTGGGTTGGAAGGGACCTTTAGAGGTCATCTAGTCCAACCCCAAAATAGGTGACATTGTACTTTCCAACAAAAACCCCTGAGGGATTCAAAGACTGAACTGGTACACAAGAAGGTTTGTGCCTTAATATTGTCTCAACATCTGTAGCCTACCACCGGAATGCTTCTCCCTGTTCTGCGTTTGGTTTCCCAGTGAGAGGAGTAAGTTACTTCTGATGCATTTCTGACCAGCTTTGCCAGTGCTGCTGTGGAGTGCATCCCCCCTGTATCTGCCTCCCTGGTGCAGACGCACCCCTTGGAGCTCCTGTAGCTGAGGCTCTAGAGCAGTTTTTAGTATCTGCTTTACTAAAATCAGCTAGAAGGGGATCTGCTGAGATTGCTCCAGTTCAACCAGTCACCCCCAGCAAATTTATTTCACATCTTCCCAGGCTTCAGAAAAGGACTTAGGTGAACTCGGTAATACGCAGCTCCAGATCAATGCCTGTGACCTGTCGTATCGTCCTTCAATGTCTTCGGAGGAGTTCCTGGCCACATGTCCACCTTGCCTTAGGCATTCGTTTCCTTGTCATTCTCCTCAGACACCATAATCTGTCTCTGAACTATCACACCTCAGTCCTGTCCCTCCTAAAGCCATCCCATATAACAGCCTTCTGTACAGCCTTGCCATGAGCGAAGAGCTCAGCTGGGCAGGGAAAGGAGGCCGTTTCCCTCCTGAACCCATGGAAAGGAAGCCAGAAGGACCTACAATCACAGAATCCCAGAATGGCAAGGGTTGGAAGGGACCTCAGGAGATCACCCAGTCCAACCCCCCTAATAAAGCAGGCTCACCCAGAGCAGGGGGCACAGGACATCGTCCAGGCAGGGGTTGAATATCTCCAGAGAAGGAGACTCCACAGCCCCCCTGGGCAGCCTGGGCCAGGGCTCGGGCACCCTCAAAGTATAGTTCTTCCTCACGTTCAACTGAAACCAGCTGAATACAAGCAGTTCTCTCATCTGTCTCCTTCCACCAAGACAAGCTTAATTCTGCTTAAACTATTCTTGATGGGTTTCATCTAATTTGTGCTGAAAAATTCCCACCACAGAGACACCACACCTTCCCCAAGCATTTGGTTGCAATACTTTGCTCCTTCCCACTAGGATACTCTTCCTGCTGTTCAGCTTGGATCTTGCTCGATGCTTTTTGAATTGTGTCCCAAGAGAGCGTGAACAAAACATTACTCCTTTCTTCTATGCCGTAGCCTCTTGCACATGCAAATACCGCTGTGCCTCCCTTGAGCTTCTCTCTTCTAGACTCAGCACATCCAAATCCTCAACGTTTCTCCATAGGTCTTGCTTTCAGCCCACCAATCTGGGGTCCACCAAGGCAGACGTGGCTTTTCTTGGAACTCCCACCTCTCCATCCCCCACTGGAGAGGAGGAAACTGTTGGTGGCTCTCCGTTAGCTTTCTGCAGAGACGTCCCAGTAGTAGGTTGGGTTTTGCTCTGTCCGAGCTGCCCCACATCCCCAAGCCCTACCTGATGCCAGCATGGACGGTCAGGGTTGAACCCCCCAATTCCAGGTGATTTTAAAGCACGTCCCACCTTGATATTTTCATACCAGTGGGTAAAACCACCCAGCCCCGCTACCTCAGAGCTTTTCTTTCTGTCGCTGGAAGAAAAATAAGAAAACAATAGGAAGAAAAGCTGCGTCAGAGCCAGGCAGATCGGAGTTAATCCTCCCTCAAAATGGATCCCGTCAGTGGTGGTGTACGTGAGAATCGCCTCTCCTGCACCTTTGCTGGGTACTCTCCCCGGCACAATGCTTCACTTTGTGTTTCAGCACAGAAAGAAATGGTGAAGTTGCTAATAATGGCACTAAAAGAAAATATGCTACATCTGTTATGGATAGCAGTACAAAATTAGCTGATCACACCTCTGACACCCAAGATGTCTTCACTTAAAATACTCGTTGGCTTACTTTACATAATTTGCTGATTATATTTAAAAGAAATACAATTTTGCAATTACTGTTCTTTCTGGTGTGCTATCTATGCATCATTTTCTTTTTATGTTTATATATTTCTCCTTCATTAGTGCAGTCTGAAGGGTGATTAGATCCCTTCAAACATTTTACAGAGGTTAAACGTTGATTAAGATTTAATTATTACTGTAAATAGCTTGGAATGACATATGGTGCAAAAACCTGACATATGTGCATTTGAATAAATGAAGTGCTATTTCCCATGATGCTTCAGTAGCTGTTTAACAGCTTTGCTGAAGGGTTATGTTGCACCTCATGTTAAGATTGCTTTGATGTTATATTTTGTTGGGTTTTTGCAGCTGAAAGCTAAGAACAGTTTTTCCAGTTTTTAAAAACATTGAATATTTTAAATACCTAAATTGTTTTGCACAAATTTTTGCTAATTTGTCTAACTAGGTTAAACATTTTCAAAAGCATTTCGATTTTAACGTGGGTTCCTAGCATTGTGTCAGCAACAGCATCAATTCAATGTATAGGATTTCTGAAAGTCTGATCTTGCAAGGTGCCCTGTCCCGGCTGGGAGCGGGATCTTTGCTTGCTGCAGGAACCGGGAGCACCACGGATCCCTCCCAGGGATGCAAAGGTTTGGAGCAATCTCAGAGCAAGGGAAAGCTTTGTCTGAAGCCGGCGAAAGGAAAAAATGAGGAAAGGGATGGAGATTTTGTGGAGACAGAGAAAGGGGTAGGTAGATTTTAGCTGTGGTCCACCCTTGTTGGAGGATATCGAGCCCTGGTCCCGGACACCAATGAGCATGCGCTGTCCCCTCGTGTCACCAGGCAGCCCTTGGCTTTGCCAGGTCCCTATGGGTGCAAACCACAGCTCCGGGGACTGGATTCCTTCTAGCACTGTGTCATGAGGGGACCTTGGCTGCGGGAAAAGGAAGGGATCTCTCCTGGAGAATGATGGGTGGGATCTGTTTGATTCTCAGAGCCACTCTGTGATTCATGGAATGGTGCACGGCAGTGAGCGTGCATCATTTCACGTAATGGAAGTCAATCCAAGCAGGGTTGTTTTGAGACTTGAGTGGCGTAACGCACATTAAAATGACACGGAAAAGGCGTGATTGACATCGTATTATTTACATATTAACCTCCTCTATGTTAATTTCCTGATCTATCGAGCTCCCGCTGCAGCACAACAAGGCGATACCGATTCTGATCTTGCCTCCTCTTTGATTTCACAGATTGAGACATCTCGGCTGGAGCCAGAAATCGCAATGGCCACCACCAGTAAGACTGTAGTCTACAATAAAGGATTGTAAGTGGAAGCGGACAATCTCAGCCCAGAAGATTTGGGGAGGGAAAAGGGGAAACTTGAGATCCCGACTGGGAACAAGAAAACCACAACAAGAGAAAACAAATACTAGAGCTCAGCGATAGTAACGTATTCCCACTCCCGGCGAACTGGGAGTAAATTAACACTTGCAGAGAACTGACACCTCACACCAGTCAAAAAGATTAATATTAAAAGTTTTAAATTAGCAATGGGAGCAGCAACAAAAAAATTACATTCAAACACTTTAGAGAACTAGCTAAAGAATAATCTCAGAACTTAATAGCACTGCATGGAGGGATGTTTAACGGCGTGTTTACATGGTCTACCTAACTACATGAAAGTAAGCTTCACCGAGCAGATTTTGTTGTCAATGCGAATTAAATCTCCACACTGATGCTGCACAAAAATAATTCCATAGAGATCAACGGGTGCATGAATGTGAAGCGCTTGATAGGGTGTTTGCTAAGTGTCCTGTATTGATTTCATGCCGATCCTGCCCCAGCCATCATGCGCAACGGCAGCCTTCCACGGTTCGACGTGCAACGCTCCGTTAGCACAGCGAAGGTCACAGCCTGCGCCCCTCCATCCCTCCTGCCTCCTTCTGCAGATGGTCCTGGTGGCATCCTGCCATTCATTGCACTTGCAAGACTTTGTGTCACAGGACCCTACCACCAGGCATATCTGCAAGGGCTTTTGCCCGGGGTTCAAGATACTGGAAAGCCAACACGCCCACACATTGGATAGGAAAGGCTCTTATAGCAAAAATACAATTGATCTGCTCTTTTCCTTTGCACAGACGCAAAAGATGGGGTTTGTCCCACCTAACGTAGACACCTCTAAAAGTAAAGTTGTTAATCTAAACTAATTAGCTAAGCTACGCTTTGCTAAGCTAGTTGTCTGAGGACATAATATGGTGTAATATGTATGGTCGGGCAGTTGGACTTGATGATCGTCATAGGTCCCTTCCAGCTGGAATTATTCTCCTCTCCTCTCCTCTCCTCTCCTCTCCTCTCCTCTCCTCTCCTCTCCTCTCCTCCCTTCTTCTCTTCTCTTCTCTTCTCTTCTCTTCTCTTCTCTTCTCTTCTCTTCTCTTCTCTTCTCTTCTCTTCTCTTCTCTTCTCTTCTCTTCTCTCTTCTCTCTCTCTTCTAGCTCTCTTCTCTCCTCTTTCTCTTCTTTTCTCTTTTCTCTTTTCTTCTTCTTCTTGTCCTCCTCCCCTTCCTTCTCCTCCTCTTCTTCTTCTTCTCTTCTCTATTTTTGCCAATGCTTTCAGACAGCAAAGCCAGCCCTGCCCAAAGCCTTGTGCCAGTGCAGAGGAAGACACAAAGCAGAAGCCAGTAGGCAGGATGGCTTTGCCTGGCAGCTGTGCCAAGCTGATGGCTTCATGAGACTGCAGCCTCAGAGGGGTGAACTGCCCTCTGGAGATAGCTGTCTGTCTATCTGTCTCTTCAACTGCTCCACTTTGGGGTGCTTAAAGTGAGGTGGGGCAAGCCCCCGCCCCAGCACTGCACTGAACCCTGCAGTGGTTTGGGTTTGGGGCCATAATTTGGCTTTCTGGTGTGTTGTACCCAAGGGTAAACCCCAAGTGACTCCCTGAGGACCAGGGGAGTTAATGCAGATTTTGAACACTGTCGTCAGCAGAAGACCACACTGACAGCAAGATCTGCCTCTGGAATTGCTGTAGGGATGGAGCCGTGGTGGTGATGGACACAGCTGAACGCACAGGCTGTCATCCTTCAAATGCCTGTTTGCTGGGGGTTTTGGGGAGGGTGGGGGGGACAGGGGAAACCAAATCGCCACTGACGCAGAATGTATTTGAAGGATTTATTGCAATGCTTGAAATCGGGAGGCCTGAGCCCTGCCGTGGGCTCCTCCACCGTTGGCTGCTCTTGCTCCCCACTGGAGTCAGACCAGTAGGAACTGGAGTCATGCAACGGTCAGGCCAGCTCAGGAAGACTGATTCTGTCCCCGCACTGGTGTAAATCAGAAATAATTGCATGAAACATACCAGTTTTGTGGATTTACACACCAGCATGCAGGGGAGGAGATGCTGTTGATGGGCCAGCTCCTGGTCCCTGGCCCTGGTGGAAACACAGAGTGGGTCTGGTTATGCTTATGGAGCTATTCTGGATTTACACCGGGGTAAAGGACAGCTGAATTTGACACAGCAGAGTTCCTCTAATGCACTAGATGAGACGAATGTACGCTTCAGAGGAAGCGAGGCCACCCCGTCCGCTCCGGGTGGCATTTGGAGAGGCTGCAGGCAGGTGGCATCTGTCCTATGGACATCTTCATGGGCATCTGTCCTACGGGCAGCAAAGCGCAGAATTGGGGCCCGTATTTTGCCGTGGGGGCAAGTAACTCCCCGCAGCAGTGGAAAGGGGGAGCAGACCTCCCTCCCCGGGAAGGGGAGCGGGGATGCTGGCAAGCCCTGAACAGCAGCCTGCCGATGGGAACTGCCATGGCGAGGCTTCGGAGAACCTTCTGGGACGAGGTGTGCGCCTGCAATCCAGCCCTTTCCATTGCTGCAGGGTGTGGGAGGAGATGAGGACCGTTGTCGGGTGCTGGGGGTACGGGTACCCCCTTGCACACACGTCCATGTGTGCCTGCAGTGGGGAAAAAGCCACTCTGAGCCTAAAACTTCAGTTCACGGCTCTGCTGAGCCCGCAGAAATGAGGAGCCAAGCTGCATCGTGTTGCACGGAGGCACAACTCGCCTTCTTCCTCCGCCTGAATGGAAATGCGAGGCTGAGACAGAAACAGCCTCTTGTGTTGACAGGGAGAAGCCTCCTGGCTCCGGCGCCTGTCTGGGTGGATCATTTCCCCTTCCCCGGTGGGCTTTGTCGCTGCCTGAGCCGTTCTGCGGCAAAGCTTGTTCATCCCAGGCTTTTTTTGGGGGGTGGGGGAGAGGAAGAAGAGATGGTGAGTGCCCTTTGCTGTGAGGTTTCGGAGAGGTGGAGCCAGGAGGGAGATGGTGATTGGGTTTTGCATCGTGATCACCGATCAAAGATTTTGGTGGCTGTGAGCTCTGGCCACCTGGAAAAAAGTCAGGGCTTTGCTTGCTGTATTTCTTTAGGAGAGACACCCAAGGAAAAGCACGGATTGAGCAAGCTCTGCTTTGGGGAAGAGCCAATTCCCAATTTTCTCCCTGATGGGAAGCAGGTACGGATGCTTTCCCGGCGCACACATCACCTGCAGAGTTTTGGCTGCGCGGGTCATTAATTAGCAGGGGATGCTCATCACGTTAATCCAGCGCCGCTCACTAAAAACTGCGTTGGTTTGGAAGAGAACAGACTCAGGGCTTAGGAAGCCACGCGGCTCCCGTGAATCACGAGGGGCTGATCCTGCTCGAGCGGGCGAGGACCAGCTTGAGGGATGTCAGGGGAGCCGCGCTGCGAGATTATGGCTCAGCTCAAAAGCAGCTGCACAGTCGAACAAGTGACAATCAAACGGTCTAAATGAGTCTGGATTTATCGTCTTCCCGTACAAACCCCGTCAAACTTGTTTCGCTTTATGTGTCATGAAAATGGGTCTCAGTCAACGCGGCAGAGTTTGTGCTGAGAAGTAAATACATCCCGGGGTCCCGAGTCAGGCATTCACTGGGGTTTACCCCTAGGAGCCGGGGGCAGCCTCTGGCAGGTTGGCAACAACGTTTGCTCTCAAATTTTGTTCAAGGGCAACTCAAAATGTCGCGCCCCCGGCGCAAAGCACTGGGAAAAGGCTCCTGCTTGGAGCTGGGAAGGGAGAGCCACCTACCACCTCATGGGGTTCTGTTCCCTTTTCTAACCTCTTCCGAAAGCATCTGCCGGTCTGGCGTTGTGAGGAGCACCTGCAGCGGCAGTGCCCAAGAGGTTGGAGACCCAAGGACCTGACCCCACATCTCCAAACCCACGTGCAGCCGCCTCCTCCAGGCAGTCAGGGTGGTGCAGACCCATCTCCACCGCTCTTACCTTTGCTGTCCCCTGGCTTGGTGGCCAGCAGGACGAGGCACATGTACCAGGAGCACAGTTTGGTGGCCCCATGGTCCCAAATTCTTGAGGAACACAAGACCTCAGTGTCCCCATGCTGGGACACTGAAGCCAACTGATGTGGTTCAGCTTTTGAGCCACCACCATCCCAACTCAGGGGGTGTCGAGATGCGTTTTTATGTAAAAGCAGCAGAAAGGCTCAGCAGACACAAACCTGACCTTGATGGATCTTCAAAGACCCTTTCGCTCACAGACGGCTCCAGGTGGGGCCTCCTGGTGCAGCAGTTCCAGCGTGGTTGCTGCCATCCGTGGTGGGACCGCCGGCAAGCGCCGAAAGACCATGCTCAACTCTTCCTACAGCGTTAGAAATGAAAAGCATGGAGCTGGGGAAGCAGCAGCACGTTAGTTCTGTTTATTAGGACAGCACATGGTGCCAGAAAAGACTACACACAACAGCTAATGATAACAATTATGCACATTCACTTAATAGCTAATTAATCTCTTCGACTTTCCTAATGTACAAAAAAGGAGGCTTCGGTTTGCGAGAACAACCCAACCATTTGCATTTCTTATTTCCTATAATTGGGGAAGTGGGAGAAATGGGGAGTGAAAAACCCCACCACACACATCAAGTTGTTCACCTCAGCAGATAATAATAATGAGATGATCATCCCCTGTAGTATTTAATTAGAAATGTCACAATTAATTGATTTCTTGGATATGTTAATTAAGAAATAATGAGGACCAGGTTGCAGCAAAAAGGTGCCAGCGAGAAGTTTTGAGTCCCTCCTGGAAGATGTGTCTGTTGGCCGCTCCCCGAGCCAGCCGGGGGACAACCCCGGGGTTGTGTCACCCATGTCCCGAACCCACCCTTAAGCTCGGGCACAGTGTGGCTTCTTCCATTTTTCACTTGTTGCTCATTTTTCTGCGGGCAGGCGCCCAGGTCCCGGCAGGATGGGTGGCAGTGGTGGGCCACGGGTCGCCCCGTTTGCTCGCCGTGCCAGTGCTGCTCATCGTTGGGACGTGGGATGACCCAGGCGATGCTGGACCCGGCCACCCTGGGACAAGCGATGCTGGTAGATCTCAGGGTTATACCCACGCCACATAGCCGAGAGATGTAGGTGTTCCCTCTGCTTCGGTCGGATCCTCTTGGAGGGCTGTGATGGAGATCCGGAGCCTTCAGCCGCGCGGGGGGAGCTGCCGGCGTGTTGCGGCCAGACCCCGACAGCCTCTGAGCAAAGCTTTTTAGGGTACAAATAAGCTCCCTGGGAAGCTGTTCCCGGCGTCAGGTGTGCAGATGGTGGAGGCTTGAAGTGGTCCTGGTGGTGGCAGATACCCCCAGCCCCGGGTAGTGCCCTTGGGTCGCTTTAGGAAACGTCCGCTTTGGGCTTCTTTTTTTTT